AAAAGAAAAGATTTGATGCATATGATTTGAAAGATTTGATGATTTTATGATTATCCATATTTTTGAGTTGTTTCCAATCGGGTGACTTCAGCGAATTCGTATTTCGTTCGGTGTGGGTCAATCGAAATTTATTTCGTATTATACTTAATTCGTTCTTCGTGTTCTGCTCATTCGTATACTGACAAGTGGTTATTCCTCTTGGTCATTAAAGGTAATGAGTGTATTTTTAAAATTCGTTTCGTTAATTTCGTTTTTACGTTTTTTTTTTTGTTTTACACCGCAGCACATTTATTCGTTCTTAATGAAAATGTTTTCGATCAAATAAATCATCGATAAAATAAATAAATCATCGATAACCCGTTTTCACGTTTTTGATCATTAAAAAGAAGAGGATAAGATTAAGAAATAATGTTGGACAAATTTCGTTGTCGAAAGTTTAAGAGGAGAATTTTCAATGCGAATTTATAAGAAAAATAAAGTTCCGTTCAGTCACCTGTTTTTTTTTTTTTTTTTTTTTTTATTTATCCAGATAAATTCATTCTAAACCTTTTAGATAAGGAACAATTATTTTAAGGATAATATATAGTAAACCTTTATTATGTAAACATTAAAAAAAAAAAAGGAGAATCAACGTACATGAAATATTTTAGTCAATTATCTAAGGAAAAAAACCAGTGGGTAAATGCAATGATCATGTTGGCGTTTTCAAATAATGTACCTTTATCGTAATAAACGAAAACCACGTTGGGAATATGATAGGTGGCTATGTATCAAAAGAAAAATTTTAGATATTGTCAAAAATAAAAAATATTATGACATTTCTATTGTAGTTACTTTGGGTAACCAAATCCCTTGTGAAAAAAAAGTTTATTTTGAATACTGGTATTATAGTTTTTTAATCAACGATTGACAAAAGAGTAATGATCAACAGAAACAAAAAAAAATGTCTTATCAAGATTAGAACATTAGAATGGAAATCATACATGCATCAAAAAGCTTGATGTTCTCAAAAAAGAAGGATCAACGATCAGTATTCATAGTACAAAACGCTTTCCTTCCTTTTATGACTTGATTAAAGTTTAAGCCTTATGCATTTCAATGCATCTATTCGTGTGATTTTAAACAGGTTTCTGTAGGGCTTAGTTATCAATTACATCATTTTCTCACGATTTCTCACGATTTCAGTCATAGGGGTTTCCTGTATGAGATGTTTCACAATTACGAGTTTTCTAATTCAGTTCTTCAGCCCATAACCATATAGTCCCATTTGGAAGCCCATTTGGAAGTCTGCATAAATGACCAATAACCTCTTTTTTTTTAAAAAAAAAAAAATTATGGGGGATATATAATATGATAACATCTTGGATTTTGGAACTTTAGTAAAAAAATTTACAACTTTAGTAAATATTTTTACTCAAAAGAAGACATACTTAATGAGAGCGTTCCGTTAACTTTATCGATGAAAAAAAAAGATGCGTATGGGCGTCCCAACTTCTTTATAGCGACAGGACGTGAAAGACGACCCTACCTTCACTTTTCAAGCGGATGCATTATCGATTTCAGCTCAATATTTCTTTAGGAATGTATCTCTTTCCTACATCGACGACCAAAACAAATGATCATGGAGTATGTCTTTATTGGGCAAATTAAGTTTAGCAGATATAAATTTGTCAACTTGACTAGAAACAATGATCAAATGCTACAAAACCATATATAAAGGTTTAGGAAAAAATCGAAATCAAAAAAAAACAAGGTGCTCGTAAAATTTCAACTTAAAAGTGATAATGATGAGGATACGATAAAACGACGGATATCTTCACTATATCATTTGTTGACAAAATGGACGTTCAGTCATTTATCAAATATCAAAATCAAAGTCAAAATCAAAGTCAAAATCAATGATGGGCTTTGCTTATTAGATCCCTCTCTATGAGCCAATTCTAATCATTGCAACAACAACAACACACAACAACAGCAACAAAAAAAAAGAGGCGCAGGTGACTTTTTTGTGCCTTCATGTGAATAGATGAGAAGAAAGGTCTAAAATTTGTCCAGGTAAACTGGTTCAATTGCTTGCGGGAGATGCCTGTTATTCAGATTTGGTGTGGAGTTTGTAGGGATTCCGGTACGATGCGTATCTTGGACCTGGAAGGTATGACGTATTGGTCCTACGAAAGAGGGCAGATCTTTCACGCCATACGTTTTTGCATTTCCCAATTCAAAAAAAAAAAAAAAAAAAAAAAAAAGAATTTGTAATCAAAAAAAGCCAAATTCATTTTTGTTGATCGATTTTTTGTCCTAAATTTTGTCCTAAACTTTGTCCTATCTTTAAACTCAATTTTTTTAAAAAAAATAGTAGCATTTCAGCTCCACGTTTTATCTCTGTTTTTATTTCTTTTTTTTTAAATAAAGATTTACCATTGACTGTTCATGTGCAATAAAAATCAAGTCTGATTAAAATTTTCGGTTGTGCCGCAGTTTTTTTTTTTTTTTTTTTTTTAAAAAAAAAAAGTGATTATTTACGGAGCGCGATTTTTTGACCTTTAAATCTCCCAATATCATGTCGAAATTTCTTTCCTTTAAAAACTTGATCGATTTAGTTCGCAACGCGCTATAAAAAAAATTTTTATTTTTTGTAACCAAAATGTACTGTATCATCATCTGATCACTAACTTCAGGATATAGGATGACGTAATGACCGCTTTAAAAAAATATTGTTACATATGAAAAATATGAAATTAAACAAACCCTTTCCATTAAAATAAACGTGCGATTTGATTGCATTTCGAAACATGATGCCAAAAATCCCAGAATAAGGATAGCTGATCCCCCTTTTATGGTAAGTAAATCAAATCAGCTAGTGAATAATTTTAAATAATTAACGGCAAATTTAATTGTTCTGACTTCTTTCCTTGTAATAAAAAAAATAAAATAAATAAAAAAAAATAAAAAAAAAAGGGATATTTCTCTAAACAAAGGGTTGTCATTCAATCATGATAAAATATTTTTCAATATTTCTCGTATTTTTGATTTCAATTCAATTCTTCATCATAATTGAAGTAAAATCGCAATCAACGTCTTTTAAACCGGTAAAGAGGGGGTCACATACGGCTACCCTTATCAATGATAAACTATACATCTTGGGAGGACATAATGTTTCAGCTGATCCATCTGGAATGACGGGAAAGCAATTTTTTTATCTTGATGTATCAGTATCGTTTAGCATAAAAGATGTCAAATGGGTGAATTTAACGAGCAATAATTCAGTTCCCCCGCATTTCAGAGCGAGCGCGGTTAAAGGAGGGGCAAATAATAAAACGTTATTCTTATATGGGGGAGAACCAATTAATGAACAAATTGAACAAATGGAAGTGGTTTATACTTTTGATACTCAAGGTAATTCTTGGAGTATACCGAAAATCACAGGAATTTATTCGGTTCGAAAGAAGAGTTTGTTTCCCGTCGTTGATAATAATGGGAAAATGTTTTTATTTGGTGGGTTTACTTTTGCCATTTTTAATGTTAATGATTATGTAAATGATATGACCATATTGGATACGATTAACCTGAGGTGGGAACAGGGCAGTTCAATTAATGCACCCACCCCAAGAGGGTATTATGGTGCTACTCTATTACCGGATCAAAAAATAATCTACATTGGTAAGTAAATGGATGGATTCTGGATGCGAGAAAAATCATCGAAATTTTCTGAATTTTTTTTTTGTTTTGTCAGGTGGCTATACATCCGATCAACCTCTTTCGTTAGAACAGGTATATTTATACGACACAATGAATGACGAATGGAGCACACAAGTAGGTCTTGTTTGATAGAAATATTATTGAAGTTTATCGATATCAATTGTGAATCTATAAAAATTAAGCCTTGATTATCGTTATAGTCAACTAGTGGAAAAATCCCGTCTAATAGAGATTCTTTTTCCGCCGTTCTCGGTAACTATCATTTTTTTTTTTAAAAATAATAATAATAATAATAATAATAAATAGTTTTTTTTCTATAACAATTACTCCCATTCATATAGGATTAGATGGTCAAAGAGTGATAATTTATGGAGGAACAAATATAAGCAATTCGGATGCGTTGTATGAATTAAACGTAAAGGGTTGGGAATGGCGCATTCCAAAGGTATCTGGAAACGTTCCCCAAATAACTCCGTTTTCTCATAAAGCAAATGTAATTGGAAAATGCATGGTTGTCACTTTTGGTAAATAATTTGGAAATTTTTTTTTTTTTTTTTTTATGATGATGATGTTAACCCGGAAAAAAAAATTTTATCTAAATAGGGTTTAATAATTATCAAGAGGTTCAAAGTGATATTTATTTACTTGATATAAGTAATATAGATGAATATCAATGGACAAATCTTTATACTCCTTCAGATTCTTTGATATCATCCCCTTCGACAACAACGAAATCAATGACATCATCAACGGCTATAAATGAAAATGCGGTGGCGCCAAAGGAGACTAATAACAATTCACCCAATACAATGAATGTGGTGGTTTTAGTTGGTGCAATATTAGGTACTTTAGCTTTTGGCATTTTACTTTCTGTTGGTGGTTTTCTTTTATGTAGTAAGAGGAGAAGAAAAACTCAAGTATATCAAGTAGCCATACCAACGCCTAGAGAAACAAAATCCGTTTCTTAATTATCAATTTTAAATTTGAGGAAAAAAGGTCGGGGAAAAATATTTTCTTTCAAAGGGGTTTCAAGCATATAACATACTTTATTTTTTTTTAAAAAAAAATTTGAATTTATGATATACCTTTAATAATAAAGAATAATATAATTTCGGTTGCATGATTAATAAAATCTAGGTTTAACTATACTTTATTGAATGAATTATTTCAAACCTATTTATTTTACATGACGAGTGGTGTCTGTGGCGCGTACATTTTGTTTTAACAAGCACTTAACTTTTTGGGAAAATTAATATGAGACCAAAAGTTGATTATAAACAGTGAGAGGCGATTCAATAGAAAAAATGATTTTCAGTAATTCTTGGAAAAAAACACCGATCAAATGGTATCTGACGCTACTTATTCATCACTTAATTCTGATCTCGATAATTAACAAATTTATTAACATATCTTTTTTCGGTTCATATCACCTATTTCCGAATACCTCCCACAACTGTATAGTTATGATTGAAAAGGTAATTCAGTTAATGCATTTAAGGACGCTATGAATACAAAATAATAGCAAATAATAATAATAATAATAATAATAATAATAACTACTAATTAATACGTCGTACTTCAAAACGAAGAATTCTAGAGAAAAGTTTTTCAAATTTTTGGGATAATTTGAATGTCATTAATAGTAGACAGAAATTTCTCAATCTCAAGAATCAATTAGAAGATATAATTGAAAGTAGCTTGTGATGAAATTCCATCTATTGAGAAAATTTAGCATCGGTAAGTATCACAGCTTTACTCAACCATTTACTTTTTTCTTCCATATCTTGACCATTCTTTTCATCCATTAACAAAGTTAGCGAAGGTATATGCTTGTTTCTTGATTTGCATATGGAGATTTTCATAGATCGAACTCATACCATGTTGCGAATTCATGAATTTGAGACAATTCCAAATTGAGTAGTAAGATACCTAATTAACAAAAACTTTACATCAACAGTATTCATGCAATCAAAACTATTTTGCAACTGTCAAAAAATCGAAAATACATATATTTCTAATTTCGCCATACAATTTATTTCTAAAGTTTATAATTGTGTAACCATAATCACTACCATGCCAAAATACTTTAATCCGATCACGCTCATTATATTTAAAAGGTTATAACGGAAATTCTGATTTGTATACTGGTGATGTGACTAGTAAGTCGCATGAGTCATTTCAGTATTTGTTGTCAACTTGATGACCAAAACAATGTTAAGTTTTAATTTTGAAGGACTTTTGTTTTCGATAAAGGATGGAAGGAATGACGAGAAATTGAATTTAAAATGTTTATTAGGAGGGAATATTATATATGAAACAATATTATACTGAAAAATTCTTTAAATAACAATATTATTTCGTTAACACACTTGTTCATAATGATAAAAACGTACTCTTGTCGAGAGAGAGATGAAAACAATACAGGTACAGCATTACAGCATTTATCAAAAGATCTTTACTAATACACTGAAACGATAAATCTTATTCTGACATACTGTACCTCTCGGTAAATCTAATGAAATTAGGTCAAAGGGTTTTAACAAAAACATTGTTAAGGATTGAATTGGAGCACCATATTAGACCTTGTTCAAGGAACTCCCATTACTTGTATGCTGAATGGATGAGATTCATATTACATCTCGTGCTTGTTATTAAAAGTTTCGATTTATTTCGTTTATACATGATGCCCGTTTAAATTTACATTTCTTTAAATTTTGCTCTTGTATATTACATTCATTGTTTACCTTATAGTCGGAGGAAATTGATGTAAAAAATTATTTTATAGGCCGCTCCCTCAATGTTATTGGCTAGGTGATTGAGGTGATGCTGAGATGCTGATCAATTGCTTGAGCAATCTTCAATTTTATTATGCTTCCTATAAAAAAAAAAAAGAAACTGGCCCATTTCCTAAAACGTAGGCTATGTGCCTCCTCCATTCACCAACTTAACAATAGATTTATATATCAATATCCTTTTACATAACTTTTAGTTGCATTTGAACACTTTTTATTTTTATTTTCTACAAGGGTTTGTAACATACATAAAGTGTAGGATAATAATCTTTTGGCGATGGCCTCGAATATCTATAATGTAATAATGTAAAAAAGTAAATGGAAAGTGCTAGAAATTTGATTTTTTTCGGAATTAAGACTTCGGGTCAATTTTTTGTAACCATTAATTTCCGAGAAATTGATCAGAATCTTTTTAATTGTTTCTTTGTTTATTTTTCTTGGCTGCTTTGAATAAAATATTTATAATGAAAAAAAAAAAATAAACGATTCTTTATCTCTATAATTAAGATTTGAAAAATTCAGTCTATCATCTATAAAAAGTTAAGTTCTTTATAGCTTTATCTTTGATTAACCAAGGAATGAAATAATACAAATGGACAAAAAACTAACCAGCCAATCTAATAAATTATAAGTAATTACTAGGGTTGGATCGGTCCGGTCCAAAAAGACCGGTCTTTCATCTTTCTTAGGACCGGACCGGTCCATAAGTCGGTCCTAGGACCGGTCCATAAGTTAATCCTAGGACCGGTCTTGCATTATTCGGTCCTACTGGTCCGGTCCGGTCCAAAATATTGTTTCCTTTTCTGTCCAGATTGATTTACAAGAATGGTCCAAGGATCGGTATAGAACATATTAGAAATAAATATAAATCTGATATATACATATTTAATGATATATAAAAAGTATAATAATAATTGCATACAAAACTATTACTGCGCCTTTGTTAATCTCGTTATTTTCCATTTCTATTTAGAACATTATCGTTATAGTAAAATGTTAGGACAGGTCCAAGGACTTATGGACCGGTCCGTTCCATAAGAGAGATGAAAACCGGACCAGGTCGAACCAACTATAATTTTGTAATATTTTATAAATAAAATAAGTATTTTATAACATTAATCCTTAATTTAAAATAATATATGCTATAAATAATAAAGGACCGGTCTGGACCGGTCCTCAGAATAAGGACCG